CAGCCAGAAGGGCCAGCGCACTCAGCAGCAGCAGCGGCACCCCACGCACCCACGCAGGACTGTCGCTGGCGTCCGCCGCCATATTAATCTGCGACACTCCGGTGGCGACATCCTCAGAGGGGGGTGCCGCGCTTTGTGTTTCCTTCGTTTCCTCCGGTGCGTTTCCTGTGGGTCTGGCGGAGGCTGTGGCTTGTGGAGGGATAGATGCTGCCCCCTCGTTTGGGGTCTCCTGCTCTGAGACCAGAGCAGCAAGAGGCTCCTTCGGCCCCTCTTCCGGCGCAGGAGGCATGGTTACAGCATCCGGTACCTCCGGTGCGACACTTAGAGTGGTGATTACCATACCAGCGACCTGCGCTACGGCCTTAGCACTCTTCGCTGCCTTTTCAGCCTGCGTTGCTGCCCATTTAGTGTTGTCTGCTGCTGAGGCAGCTGTAAACGATCCAAAATCTTCTCTCCTCTTATAGCTATTCGCTGCCTCGGCAGCGGACGTCGCGGCAGTCTTAGCGCTCTTTGCTGCCGAATCTGCTCTCGCCACTGCTTCTGTGGCGTGGGTGACCGCTTTGTTTACGTTGTCTTTCACCTCAGTTCCTTTCTTTTCTGCCAACAAAATAGTTTCCAATAACTCCTTGGCTTTCTCCAATAAAGTCTTCGAAAGTGTGGCCTTTTCCGCCGAACTGTTAGCAAGTTGCGCCGCTTCATTAGCCTTCTCCTCCGCCTTATCCACATCTACCACCATCTCTTCATTGGCCTTAGTGTGTGGTAAGCGAAATATCCGTATGGACTCCGTAGCCGCTTCCGAGGCACGCATCGCATCCGTCGCTGCTTCTGTGGCACTCCCCGCCGCCTCGGTAGCCTTAGCCGCCGCCTCCTCCGCAGAGGCCTTGCAGTCAACGGCGGCCGATTGAAGCTGCTGTCCTTCACTCGAATGGGTACTGGATTGGCCATCCGCAGTATTCGCTGTCAGACGTGACTTATGACCAACCGCCTCATGTTGGTCATGCGGCTTGCTTGGGGAACTTACGGAGGGTCTGGATGCTTTTTGCAACTCTGCACGTTCAGGATCCGCATCCAACTGCGGAGTATCGGCTGCCGCGCAGAAGGACACGCAGCACAGCGCGAGAGCAAACACAAACACCACCTGGCGCACAGCCACCATTCTTTTCAATTCCTCTTGAAACACACTGGTCTGCAATTAGGAACAAAAGAGACACTGCGTGTCTCACAGACAGTGGCGCAGAGCAGCAGCGGCACAACAGGTGCGTCGCTGCGCAGCAAACACGAATGGAATAATTCAAGCAACCTCTTGGCTAAACGGGCACCACGCAGTGATGCGCAACGCAAAGCCCCAACAAGAGCAATAAGGAATAAAAAACAAAAGAACCCCAACCGACAATACAGAGCCAAGTGACTATCATTGATAGGTGATAAAACGGTGCGTACCACACAAAGGAGTGGCGGAGACAAGAGAAACCAAAAAAAAGAATTTAAAAGAGATGCGGGGAGTTGGCCCTCTCAAGTGGGCAGCGCACAATCATGTGCCAAGCAAAGCCCATTACAACAATGAGAGAGATGCGCCGTCCTCGTTGGATACAGAGCACAGGGAGTATCCTCCAAGGGGGATTAGGTGGCGCGGGGGAAACAAACTTAAATAAAATGAAACGAAAAGTAAAGCAAACCAAAACATATTAGTAAACAATCTCCAGGGCAGCACACACAAGCACAGGGTGTATGCGCCCTCTCCGTGTGCACACACACAGAGGTCAGCACACAGCCAGGAGGCCCAGCACACCAAACACCAGCAGCAACGGTGTACGCACCCACGAAGGACTGACGCTGCTGTCCACTATCCGGGCATCCTGCAGGGTGTTTTGTGCATCGCTCTTGGGAGGTATCAGTGGCGCATCAGCAGCTTGGGAAGCAGCGTTTTCCAGGGATTCTGTGGCTGTCTTCTCCTCTGATGGTACTGAGGTTGACTGCTCTGTGTCGGTCATCGTGGTGCCAGCTTGTTGTTGACCAGAAGGGTTCTCAGATGTGAGAGTACTGCGCAGTGGATCCTGTGCGAGACTCTGGCTGTTTGCATCGTCCTGTGTCGTTTCCGCATGATGTTCTGACGGAGACCGATCATCTGAAGGTGAAGCCTCAAGTTCATTCTGTCGTGTTTTAAGAGCCTTCAACGCAGCATCGATCTGCTTAAGCTGTGAGTTAGCGTTTTTGACGGTGTTCTCAGCGTGTCCAAATGCATCGACAGCGGCCCTGGAAGCCGCTGCCGCGTCTCCCGCTGCAGCTGTTGCAAAAGTCTCCGCATCTTTAGCGTCCTTCTTTAGTTCCTCGTTTACAGATAATTATGTGGTGGGAGACGCAACGTTGAGAGTTTTGTATGCTTTCTCGGCGCTGGTCTTGGCATTAAAAGCATTCCCTCTCTCCGTGGTCTTAGCCTTTGTTGCTTTTTCAACGCTACTCTCGGCTAGTGACAGTGCCGACAACACTTCTGATAGTTTTTTTAATACCTCCTGTGCGGGCTCTGCTTCTGTTCTGCTAACTTCAACCGGTTTCTTCGCCGCGTTGCCAGCCAACTCCCGTGCTTTAGTGAACAACTCCCCTGCAGTAGTCGTTGCATCCACTGCTTCCTTGACCTTCTCCACGATTAAAGCAACCGATTCGTGAGACAACGTTGCCGTGGTCATTGCGGTTTTCGCCAAGCCGACAACCTCAGCAATTTTATCCTTCTCGATCTCTTGTTTTCCCACCAATATCTTTTGAAGCGCAGCAGCCGCTTCTGACGCCGCTTCTGCCGCAGTCTTGAACTTATCCGCTGCACTCTTTACGGCGTCCACCTTACCCCTGGCATCATCCACCTTCTCCTTTGCCTTCTTAAGGTTAACAATCACTTGATCCTCGCCACCGGTATCCTCGGCAGGAGTCGCTGCACAGCCACACACGCAGCACAGCGCGACGGCCACCACAAACAACGCGGAACGCCTCACCACCGCCATCATCACAGCCCGAGGCACACTGGTCTACAGAGGGGGAGGGACGCACAGCGGGGTACACAAGCACAGCAGGGGAGAGCAGCAGCGCACAGACAACCTCCCAGCAGAAGCAGCAGCCCAACATCGCAGCACACAGTCACAAAAAAAAGATAAAAGAGAACCCCCCCAGGAGGAGAAACAGTTAGTGGGCGGCGTACAGCAGCGCACAAACCTCCAACAATCAAGAATTAAAACAGTTCTCACCTCTGGAAAGCACCCCACCACAAAGCCCAAGTGGCGGCAGTACTCCCTCCCGTCACTGCGATGGCGCAGCGGAGAGGAAACAAGAAACAAAAACAACGGGGGTGAATTCACCATACGAGCCGTCCCCGCAGCAGCNCACCACACAACTCAACGGACAACTAGAGGAGTAGCACATCACTCACACAAAACATTAGTGGCAGAGCACAACAAGCACACAAAAACAAAACCCCAACAACCCCAGATGAAAAAATGAAAGAACGTGGCAGCCAAAACGCCTATTTGAAAGTGTGGCTGTGTTGTTAAACAGCTGAATGCTGGTGTCCCTCTGTGCTCCCGGTGGGGTGCAGCGGGAGGCGGTGCGGCACTCCACACCACGCCGCAGCGCAGAGCACAGACACAAGCGCGGAGGGAAGCAGCGGGCACA